CAGAGGCACAGGACAGCCCTGGGGAGGTTCCTCTCCCACTGGTGGGGTTTGATCCTGGTTTTGTCTGGCGGGATGTTAGGAAGTGGTGGTGTCTCGTATTCCTGGGTCTGCTCGTGTCCGTGTGTCCACTCGTGTCTGTGTGTCCACTCGTGTCCCTGTGTCCAGCCATGTGTCCCTGTGTCCATGTGTCCACTCCTGTGTCCGTGTGTCCACTCCTGTGTCCGTGTCCACTCGTGTCTGTGTGCCCACTCCTGTGTCCCTGTGTTCACTCGTGTCCATGTGTCCATTCCTGTGTCCGTGTGTCCACTCCTGTGTCCATGTGCCCACTCCTGTGTCTGTGTGTCCAGCCATGTGTCCCTGTGTCTGTGTGTCCACTCCTGTGTCCGTGTGTCCACTCCTGTGTCCGTGTCCACTTGTGTCTGTGTGTCCAGCCATGTGTCCCTGTATCTGTGTGTCCACTTGTGTCTGTGTGTCCACTCCTGTGTCCCTGTGTCCGTGTGTCCACTCCTGTGTCCATGTGTCCACTCATGTCTGTGTGTCCACTCCTGTGTCCGTGTGTCCACTCCTGTGTCCGTGTCCACTTGTGTCTGTGTGTCCAGCCATGCGTCCCTGTGTCTGTGTGTCCACTTGTGTCTGTGTGTCCACTCCTGTGTCCATGTGTCCAGCCACGTGTCCGTGTGTCCAGCCACGTGTCCGTGTGTCCACTCCTGTGTCCATGTGCCCACTCCTGTGTCCATGTGTCCAGCCACATGTCCGTGTGTCCACTCCTGTGTCTGTGTCCAGCCTTGTGTCCGTGTGTCCAGCCACGTGTCCGTGTGTCCACTCCTGTGTCTGTGTCCAGCCACGTGTCCGTGTGTCCAGCCACGTGTCCGAGTGTCCAGCCATGTGTCCGTGTGTCCAGCCCTGTGTCTGTGTGTCCACTCCTGTGTCTGTGTCCAGCAATGTGTCCGTGTGTCCAGCCACGTGTCCGTGTGTCCAGCCACGTGTCCATGTGTCCAGCCCTGTGTCCGTGTGTCCAGCCACGTGTCCGTGTGCCCAGCTCCCCGTGTCTCCCTCAGCCCCAGCAAGGGATTGCTCTGGAGGAGGAAACCTCCACAAAGCAGGCAGCTGGAAAAAGCTGGATTTGACCTGGGCTCAGGAATTTGCACCGTGGGCGATTCCTCATCCCTGGCCGTGTCCCGGGCCAGGCTGGACACCGGGGCTCGGAGCACCTGGGGTAGTGGAGGTGTCCCTGCCCATGGATGTTCCTTCCCACCCAATCCACTCTGGAATTCTGTGGAGCACTGGAGCAGGTTGCCCAGAGCAGCTGAGCTGCAAAGGGAGCCGCAGGGTGGGAGGGAGCAGCTCCAGGCTGTGCCAGGGAAGGTTCAGCTGGATTCCGGAAGAATTCCTTCACCAAAAGGTGTCAAGCACTGCTCCCAGGGCAGGGAGCCCCCGTTCCTGGAGGGATTCCAAAGCTCTGACTGTGGCTGCTGGGGACATGGGGCAGTGCTGGGAATGGTTGAACTGGATCTCAGAGGGCTTTTCCAGCCTCAGTGGTTCTGCGGTTGTGCCAGGTTTGGTGAGGAGAACCCCCCTGATTCTGGTCCGTGTTTCCACCAGCTGCAGGTCCCGCTCAGCGCCTGCCTGGGGGTCAGTGATAAACCTGGCCTTGGTGTTTAATGATCAATTTGCTTCAACACCATCCTTCGGCCAACCCCAAGTAATTAAACTCATTAACAAATCCTCGATGGCCCTTTTGCTTTGGTGGCCTGAGGTTGAGCAGTTCCTGCCCCTCACGAGCCGTGGGAAGGAGCTCACAGATCGGCAACAGCAATTTCCAAAGTGTAGAAAACAAACCCTCGTTAATTCCCTAAATCCAGTTCTGTGCTGGGGGTCTGGGGGATGGGATCTGATCTCCAGCCACATTTAATTTCATTTAATTTCATATTCCCAGCAGGGGGGTTGCTGGAAGTGGGGACTGAGTTCATCACATTAAATCTGGAAGTAAAATTTTTATTTCACTGCCCTCACAGTGGTGGCTCTCCCAACTCAGGAGTTTTCTTTCTTCTGCTCTCCCACTTCATTGTCAAATCCTCCATCAAACCTCCAAGCTGGGTCTGCAAATTCAAATCCAAAATTTGTCATGGGCACAGATTAACCATGGCCAGGCTAAATACCCAAATAGGACAGACCAGCTAAGCCGGGCTTAAATCTGGCTTCTCTTAAAGCCACACATTAGGCTGAGTTACAGTTCCTGGAGTGTTCAGGCTTTGAAAAGATTCATCCCAACACCTGCCAAATGCAAAAAAAAAGAGAAATAAAAATGGATTCAGTGATTTTTGAAGGGGTAGAAGTTGGAGACGAGCCCTCACTGCTGTGCAGACTGAGCAGAATCACCGTGGCTCCCTTGGACTCAGCTCTAGGGCTGCATTTGCTGAGTGCGAGAGGAGGAATTCCCGCTTGGGGTCTGGGTGAAAACCTTGGGAAAGGCTCTGGAAATATTCCCTGGGGCTGGAAAAGCAGCCCCCTGCTCATGCAGGCCCTGCCCAGCAGCTGTGCTTCTCCACCTCTTCCTCGCCGGCTGCGGCACGCCGGGATGTGCCGGGATGAGCCGGGATGAGCTGGGATGAGCCGGGATGTGCCGGGATGTGCCGGGATGTGCCGGGATGAGCCAGGGTGTGTTGGGATATGTTGGGATGTGCCGGGATGAGCTGGGATGAGCCGGGATGTGCCGGGATGAGCTGGGATGAGCTGGGATGAGCCGGGATGAGCTGGGATGTGCCGGGATGTTCTGTGATGCCGGGAGGTGTTGGGATGAGCTGGGATGTGTTGGGATGTGTTGGGATGTGCCGGAATGAGCCGGGATGTGCCGGGATGTGTTGGGATGAGCTGGGATGTACCGGGATGAGCCGGGATGAGCCAGGATGAGCCGGGATGTGCCAGGATGAGCCGGGATGTACTGGGATGTACTGGGATGAGCCGGGATGTGCCGGGATGAGCTGGGATATGTTGGGATGTGTTGGGATGTGCCGGGATATGTTGGGATGAGCCGGGATGTGTTGGGATGTGCCAGGATGAGCCAGGATGTGCCGGGATGTGCCGAGATGTGCCAGGATGAGCCGGGATGAGCCAGGATGCGCTGGGATGCGCTGGGATGTGCCGGGATGTGTTTGGATGTGCTGGGATGCGCCGGGATGAGTTGGGATGAGCCAGGATGTGCCGGGATGTGCTGGGATGCGCCGGGATGTGCAGGGATGCACCGGGATGTGCAGGGATGCGCCGGGATGTGCCGGGATGTGCCGAGATGTACCGGGATGTGCGTGTATAACATAGCAGCCTGCAAAATGTGTTCTCTCTTTTCTTTTCAAACCTCCCTGCCCCAAATTGCTGGGATTTTTGGTTTGGGCTGTTTTGGGGTTTTGGTTTTTTTGTTTTTTTAGTTTTGCTGCATTTGGGGCTGAAAACATTTCGGCCACACATTGCTCAAGGCTTCCATTTCCAGCTGGAAATTCCCGGGTTGGGGCTATTGGGTTTCATTTGTGCATTTGGGTTTTTTTTGGTGGGAAGGGGGGCGGGGGGTTGAAAAAGAGAAAATCTTGTGAGGAAGAGTAATTTAAAGACAGAAGTCATTCCCCATGAGTAGATCTGGTTAATTTTGAACCCCACTTGTGCATGAAGCCGATTTTGATGGGATTCTCCCATTTTTCAATGTTGTCGATGTAAGGCTCAGGAGGCAGCGACTCCTCTGGGCTGTTTCTATGAACTTCCACCACGACTCGGAGCCATCACAAACCATGGACAGCTCTGCGTTATTCAAGGGTTGGATCAGCCAACAAAAATAAATCCGTGGTTATAATAAACTTTACAGCCCAAATGTTGGCACTGGATGGGGCTGTGTAGTCCAGGCCCTTGGAGAAGGAATTAATTGTGTTGGGCCACCACCACCACCACTGAAATTTGGGCTTTTCCCAGCTGGGTGAGGACTGCCAGTCCCAAGGATTTTGTGGTGGATGGGGAAAATTATGGTGAACTGGGAAAAAATCCAGGCAAGGACATTTCCAGAAGGGCTGGATGGTGTTGGAGTGGTTTCTGGCTTATCTTTTATCTGGGAAGGATTTAAACCCAAAGGTTGGGTTCGGCTCTCCATATAAACCCAACCATTGGGCTCAGTTCTTAATTTAAACCTGATGGTTTGGTCCTATCCAACCATTGGGTTCAACACTTTGTGTAAACCCAAGAGTTGGGTTCAATTCTTAATCTGAACCCAGTGATGGGTTCAATCCTTCATTTAAACCTAATGGTTAGGTTCAAACCTTAATTTAAACCCAACAGTTGAGTTCAACCCTACATTTAAACCCAGTGGTTGGGTTCAAACCTTAATTTAAACCCAACAGTTGAGTTCAACTCTTCATTTAAACCCAACAGTTGAGTTCAACTCTTCATTTAAACCCAATGGTTGGGTTCAACCTTACATTTAAACCCAGTGGTTGGGTTCAAACCTTAATTTAAACCACACAGTTGGGTTCAGTCCAATGGTTGGGTTCAGCCTTTCATAGAAACACTTCTTTTAAGCCCAAGAGTTGGGTTAAATCCTTAATTTAAACCCCATGGTTGGGTTCAATCCAATGGTTGGGTTCAACCCTTCATTTAAACCCAAGAGTTGGGTTCAGTCTTTCATTTAAACCCAATGGTTGGGTTCAATCCTTCATTTAAACACAAGAGTTGGGTTCAATCCTTAATTTAAACCCAAGAGCTGTGTTCAATCCTTCATTTAAACCCAAGAGTTGGGTTCACCTCTTCATTTAAGCCCAAAGCTTGCGTTCAACCCTTGTTTTAAGCTCAACCATTGGATTTAACCCTGTATTGACCAAAGGGCTGAGCCCAGCACAGCCAAACCCTGCAGCTGGGGGAGGCTTAGCTCTCAAACGCCTCTTCATGGTTAGAGACCCCAAACCGTGCTGTCTGCCCTGCTCCTGGTCATTAACTCTGCTTCTCTGCTTTGTTTTCTCCATTCCAAGGTGGGCCTTAATGTTCTGATCCAGAGAGCAAACAAGTTTACCCCGGCCACTCGGCTCCTGATCCAGAGGTTTGTGCCATTCCCTGCTGTCGGTAAGGAAAAATTCCTTTTCTTTTTATTCCAAGTGGTGGCTGCAAACCTGCAGGTGGCCAGAAGCCAGCGGGGTGGGCACAGCTCCTTCCTTCCTGCTCGTGTCCCCTCAGGAGTGCTCCCTGAGCTGGGACAGGCAGGGATGGGGCTCTGCAAAGCAGAATTTTGGCAGGAAAATGCTGCAAAGCTGCCGGTGGAGGCAGCTCCTTGGGCCTTCCAGCTTCACTTTCCACTCTGAAGCAGCTTCAGAAGCGATCAGCACTGACTGCTCCTCGACCACTCCAATCTGAGCGCGTTTCCTTTGCAGGGTCTGGGCTGAACTGCGCCAGATCACGGTGGTTATTTCCCAACAAAACACAAAGAATTGGTTCCGCTCTGACTGCGCAGATTTCTGAGATTCAGAAATCTGAATCTGATTCAGAGCAGCCCCAAGTGTGTGCAGGACTGAGGCTGCTCCTGGCTTTTTTGGTTTGGGCTGTTTTGGGGGTTTTTTTGGAACATTTTATTGGTGTTTTATCAGCCCTGTGCTTGAGGGAAGGGATGCCCTGGACTCAGCCTTTGCTGGGCCCTGTGGTTCCAGCCCCCAGCAAATGCTGAGTTATTTTAGCCCTGAAGAAATCACCAGTGGCTTTGGGGTAATTTTTTTTTTGTAAGCTTGTTTATTTACAAAGATGGTGAAAAAAATTGCCCAGGCATGGAGGAAATCACTAAAAAAATGGGGTTTGCTCCCTGTTCCAGGTGCCTTTTTCAGCCATTTAATGCCATTAATTTAATTTAATTAATTAATTAAATTAATTTTCCTCTCGGGTTTTAATTTTGCTGTGCAAGTGCCACATCCTCGGAGCTCTCCTGAGCCCCTTTTCCTGTCCGCTGCTCTCACTTTCTCTGGCCTTCCAGCTCCTTTTGGAGCAGAGAACTGGTTGTTGTGTCCCTCAATTCCTGAGCTGCTTGAGGGGTGTTTTCCCCTCTTTTCTGCCAGAAAAGCAGCTGCTTTCCCTGCCTGCAGAGCAGGGGCGATGGGATTGTGTCCTGGGGGCTGCGCTGAGCCCTTTCCTTGTGCACAGAGGATCTTTGGGCATGGCTGTGGTTTCCCTGGGACTTTTCCAGGATCTGTTTTCGAGGGATTCATCTTTCCTTGGGTTTTTATAACCAGGAGAGCGCAAGGGATGAGTTCAAGCCCCGAGAGGCAGCTCTGAGGCGGGGTTTGAGACAAAGACACGCAGGAAATCCTTGCTGCAGGGCTGATCTCTTTTCACACCCAGGTGTTTGTGTTGCCATTGATTGAGGACCCATCATTAATTTGTTTAGCCTGTAATTAATTCTCCGGCTAATGTTTTATTTGTCATGCTTCGTTATGAGCCAGGGCATCAGGGATCCTCACACTAATTGCTGGTTTGTAGACCTGGGCAAACCCTTAATTAAGATGTGTCTCCCAATCACTTTTGAACCTCCAGCCCCCAGCAGAAAGGCAGAAATTCTCAATTTCTGCATGGAAAGCCAAACACCGGGGCAAAGCTCTTGCTCCAAAACCCCACAGACTCGTTCCTCAGGGCTGGGGTTTAGTGGTGGGTCTGGCAGTGAGGGATTGATGATCTTAGAGGTCTTTTCCAGCCTTAATAATTCCGTGATTCTGTGAAATTAAAGAGGTTTCCCCATCCCTTCTTTGCCTCCCTCTCCGCTGAGCTCCAGAGCTGGTTGGGAAAACTGGAGGGACATCCAGGATTGAGGGTCCCATCCCAAGTTTCCACGGGAGGGGGAGGCCCAGGGAGCTGCTGCTGGTGGGGAGAACAGCCCAAACTCCAGCAGGGATGTTCCTGAGGGCTCCGTGGAGCTTTGGGAAGCTGGGCAAGCTCTTGGTGCCTTCTCCAGGTGATGTTTGTGCCCCGCTGCAGCCTGGAGGACACATTGAACTCCAGGCCCTGCCCTCACCCTCCTCCCAGGAGCAGCTGGAAATCCCAAATCACCCAAAAAATCCCACCCAGCTCCAGGGGCTGGATCCCCAAAACCAGCCTGGAGGTGCCAAGGCCCTGCAGAGCCAGAGGCTGCACCTCTGGAAAAGGGTTTGGGACGGGAGCATCCTCTGGGGTCCTCCATGGGAAGAGCAGGAAAGGGAAGGAGGGTCTTGGAGCCTGAATTTGAGCAGAGAGGGGCTGGATCCTTTCTCAGAGGTGAGGAGGGGGAGGATCTCGGTGCCCAGGGAATTCAAGGAGCCAAATTCACCCTTTTCTGCCCCAGAGCTAGGTGTGAACAGCTGTCCCCAAGGCCAGGGTGTCACTGGTGAGGGTGTGCTTTATACTGGAGATGTTAATGGCTAAAAATCCCTAGAAAACCCCAAAAATCTCATCCCAAACGTGATCTGAAGGAAACGAAAGCTGATGGAAAGACCCTCATTGGAGAGAAGAGAGAGGGAGGGAGGATTTCTTCTCCTGGGGCTTTTTTGTGTGTGTGTGGTTAGAATCGTTGTGTTTAGGTGGTGCCCAAGGACAGATTTAGAGTGTGGAAAGCACCCTGGGCTTGAAAAAATACCTACAAGCACACCGGGGTGGGGTGGTGGCTCGGTTTGGAGCCCGGACCCAGCTTCCCGTGTGCCTCAGAGCGCTCTCACAGCCGCGGTTTCCAGGCCACATTATCACAATTTCTTCCCAAATCCTGCAGATCACTTTGTCTGCTCGTATATTTATTTATTTCTCACCCCACCCCGTGCATCTGAGACGTCCATGAAATCCAAGTTTAGCCGTAATTAGCGGCGCTTTCTGCTCTCTGGGAAAGCAGAAGGGGAGCGCTTACGTGAGCGGCTCGGCTCAGACGAGCGGGCTGGGAGCAGATTTTGGCTTTGGGACCAGGTCAGGGAATCCAGGACCTTGCAAAAGCATCTCGGGAGCGTCAGGGCTGGCCAGCCCATGCTGAGCCTGTCAGGAGCTCCGTGCCAGGGCGTCCCTGGCCAAAGCAGCTCCGCTGGGGCGTTTTATCCGCTCCCTTCTGATGGACGGCGAGAAGGACGGGGCATGAGAGTGTTAGAAACGCTAAAAAAAAAAACCACAGGGGGCTCAACTTCCTTTAAATGAAGGGCCTTGTTTTGTTTTTTTATCTGGGATTGGGGAGCTGGAGGCTTGGGAACGCAGATATTTTGATAGATGGGAAGAGTGGTCTGGTAGTTGGAATATTAAAGAGAGAGACAGAGTGTGCGTGTGTGTGTGTTCTTCTCCCTCTCGAGTGGAAGGAGCATTTGTCACCACAAATCATCCTTGATTGCACAGAGCTGCCTTCAGAGAGGGCTCACCCACCCACCACCCTCAAAAAATTAGACATTTGTTATATGACATGAATTGAGATTAATTAGCGAATATTAACCCATCAAGCAGCGCAGAAACACATTTTTGGAAGGCACTGGTACTTGCAGCAACAGTGGGTTTGTCTCAGTTCTGGGTGGAAAGTTTGCAGGGAAATGTGGTGTGGGGAGTGCTGGAAAATGCCACTTGATCAGCCCAAAAGTTTTGTGGGAATTAGCAGCTTTTCTTTGGGAGAAGTTGGGAAGTGCCTGAGCCTGAGGGAGGACTGAACATGGGAGGGTGGTGCTCAACCCCAACTCTTGGTCAGACTTGAGAGACAGAATTTGGGATCGTCTCGAGGCCTCAGAAGCCACAGGCTGGGCAAGGAGGAGGGGTCAGGAAGGTCCTGGTGCACAGAGCCATTTTTCCCCAAAAATCTGTGAAATGATGGAATGGTTTGGGCTGGAAGGGGCCTCGAAGACCATCTGGCTCCAACCACAGGCGAGGACACCTTGCACTGGACCTTCCTGTAGTCCTGCTGGCCCCTGCAGTACCAGGGGAAAAACCTGGTTATTATTCTCCTTGAGAATCCCGTTGTCTTTTGGGATCAGAGCGATCCACCTGAGCAGAGTGAGGGGAGGAAATCTGGAGGGCGCTCAGGGCAAACAGGAGCTGCCAGTGGGGGCTGAGCAGGGCTGATCCCCCTGCCTTTCTCCTCCTCAGCCAGTGCCAACATCTGCAACGTGGTCCTGATGAGGCACACGGAGCTGGAGGAAGGGATCGACGTGCTGGACGACAATGGGAACATCGTGGGCTCCTCCAGAGTTGCTGCCAAACATGTGAGTTCCGAGGGGCTGGGACACGGCTGAGCCCGGGCTGGACACGTCCCACAGCCACTGGAATCCACGGCTTTCGGAGCTGGGGACGGAGCAGATCCGAAGAACACCGATTTGTGTCACCCAGGGAAATTCGGGGTCTGGCCCCGGTGGTTTGGAAGGGCACGGATTGACGTTGGGAGGATCCTGATGCTTCCACAGGAATTCCTTGTGGAATTCCCAGCGAAGATCCCTCACACCTTTTCCCAGATGAGGAGGACTCTGAGCTGAGCGGCTTTTCAGCCCTTCCCTGCCAAACCTGCCTTAAAAACTGCCCCCCAAATTGGGGTGAGGGCAGCCAGAGGTGAGGACAGCCAGAGGTGAGGGCAGCCAGATGCGAGCCAGATGTGCCAGCCCTCGTGAACCTCACCTGGTTTGCTTTCCCGTAACCCACCCGGTGCCGCCCTGGAACCGCTCCCTTCCCAGCCGCGAGCAGTTCTGGCTCCCGAGCACCCCCTGAGCTCTGGTTTCCAAGTGGGCTCTCGGCTGAGATGTGGAGCTGTGCTGAGCACACGCCCAGGCACAGGAGTTAATAATATAATGCTTGGCATTTCCCTCCCTCCTTCTGTCCAAGGCATCCAGAGACAGCAATTAATGCACAGCTCCGCAGTCCTCGGCAGGAACGGGGAGATCTCGAGAGCTCTCCATATTGTTGTTTAACAGGGGGATTCAAACAATCTGCTGAAGGGCTCAGACACACTTCTTGGAGCCAGTTTTCCTCACTTCCATTAACGGGCTCCAGGACCCACTTCACCCTCTCCATCCTGATGGTTGAAAGGGAAAATAAAGATTAAAAGTGAAGGTTGAAAGAGAAAATAAAGATTAAAAGTGAAGGTGCTGTGAGAGCGATGTAGGTGGAGCTTAATCACAAAATTGGGGAGTTTTGGGAACTTCTGCTCAGCTGCCATCCAATCCCAGAGCTTCTCCCTGGATAGGTTAATCCTGGTTTCGGTTGTGTAAAACGTGGCAGCTCCTCAGTGGGACACAGCTGTCCCTGTGTGAGGTTTGTTGTGATGGAGATGTCCCTGTGGCATAAAATCATGGAGTGCTTTGGGTGGAAGGGACCATAAATCCCACCCATTCCCACCCATCCATGGCAGGGACAGCTCCCAGGATCCCAGGTGGATCCAATCCCAATGTCCAACCTGGCCTTGGGCATTCCCAGGGATCCAGGGGCAGCCCCAGCAAATCTGGGAATTGCAGCCCAGGCAGGAATTCCTTGCCAAGATCCCAGCCCAATCTCCCCTTTCCCACTGGAAGCCATTCCCTGGCTCCTGTCCCTGCAGCCCTTGGCCCCAGTCCCTCTCCAGCTCTCCTGGAGCCCCTGCAGGCCCTGGAAGATCTCTGGGCCTCGGTGAGTCCAAACCCCACTTTGGTTGCTCCTTCTGGTGAGTGTGGCCAGGAGGGAGGGCTCAGTGGAGCCTCTGGACACTTTTGGTCAGGCCAGGTGAAGCCAGGGCAGCTCTGGCGTGTCTCTGTTTGTTCTGCTGGGTTTGTGACCCAGAATGTTGTGACCAAGCGGCTCCTGGCGGAGCTGGCAGCGGCTGCTGATCCTCTCTTTGCCATCAAGAGCCCAGCAGAGCCGTTCCTCAGCCCGGCAGGTCCATCCTGGCTCTCTCTGGGATGTCTGGATGTGTTTGTTTTCGCTCCGCAGGCTCTGCTGGAAACAGCCCTGACCAGAGTGGTCCTGCCCATGCCTATACTGGTTCTACCTCCCATCATCATGTCCGTGCTGGAGAAGTGAGTGTGCCCGGGGGGAGCGGGGGGTTCCCGAGGGGAGGGGCGGGAAGGTCCTCGCTGGGTGTCAGGAATTGATTTTTCATGGGATCCTGGGATGGTTTGGGTTGGAAAGGTCCTGCTCTGTCACCGAGTCCATCCCCAGCCCTGCCACCTCTGCCCCACGTCCACAGGGCTTGGAAATGCCCCAGGGATGGGGGCTCCAGCCCTGCCCTGGGAGCCCCTCTCAATGCTTCACAACCCTTTCCGTGGAGGAATTTCCCCAAATCCAAACTAAACCCTCCTGCTGCTGTTCCCTCTCCTCCTGTCCCTGATCCCTGGGATAAGATCCCAAACCCACCCCCGGCTGTCCCCTCCTGGCAGGAGCTGTGCAGAGCCACAAGGTCCCTCCCAAATTTCATCCACCAAATCTATTTTTAGCTCATTAAATTTCCACCTTCCATCGTTTTGCACCAACGCCCGGTTTGTTGATATTTTATACTGATATGATTATTCCAAGCCATCCCTGACCCCCAGCAGCTGGAATAACCCAACGAGGGAGCTCGGGGTGAGACAAAACCCTCCGAACCCAGTGCAGAACTTCCCCTGATTGTCATTCTCCACTTAGCAAACATCAGAGATTAAAAGAGTTTGGCTGCTGTTCAGCCAGAGATTTTCATGGAATCATGGAATTGTTTGGGTAGGGAGAGACCTTAAAGACCGTCTAATTCCAGTGAGGAGCAGATTCCAGCCCCCCTCATTTTGTGCAAAACATTTGACTTTTATTTCATTTTCCTTCTGGACAAAATCCCTGCAGCCTCTTCCCTGCCCCGGGTCCCTTTGTCCCCCACGGGGTCCCAGGCCAGGATTTCCTGCAGGATCTGCTGGGAAGGTGCCTGGGAGTGGCTGTGCCTTACTCTGGAGTTCCTGGCTCTGGAGGAATTTATTCTGGAGTGATTTCCTCCGAGGTGTGAGTAGGAACTGAGGCTTTGCACTCAGGTGGATCTGTGTGCTCCCACTGGTTTAACTGGTTCCCATTTAACCGTCCCAAATAAAATCAACACCCAGGACAAATGGTTTTATTGCTTCAAAGGACCTTTTGCTGGGTATCCACAGATAAAATCTTTTATGTGCAAAAAATTTGGAGAAATTTGTAGAGAACTCCTCTCTAAATTAATAAATCTTTGTCTCTGGCAGGACACACTGAGGGCCCATCCTGGGCCGGCCCCAAGCTGAAATAAACCTGACAGGAAAATTGGATTGGCACCTGGGGAGAAAATAAAACTGCTGGTGAAATTTGCTCCGTCCTTTGCAGCAAAACAAAACCAATAAATCATTTCTTTGTCCTCGGGGGCATCATAAATCCTTGACGAGTTTTGCTGAATGCACCTGTGCTCAGTGCAGGCCTTACTAAAACTGATTTTATCTGTGAACTTACAGCAGATTGCCCTGAAAAAAAAAAAAAAAAATCATTTTAACTTATTGGAAGCTTTAATTCACGTTTGTGAGAGAAAATTTTCCTCCTCACTGCCACGAGAACTCCTTGGGTATAAAAATATCCGGGCTCTGCTTTTGCCTGCCTGAATTCTCCCCAGAGCTTTGTGCCTGCTTCATTTTCCATCAGATATCCTCGGATTCCTGGAGGGCTGGGAGTGAGGAGCAGCAGGGATGGGAGTGAGGTGTGGAATCCCTGGAGCATCCCTGGGACTGCCCTGGCTGCACCTGAGGGATCTGAAGCCAACTCCCAGAGCTGGAAAGTGCTTCCCAAAGGGCTCAGTCAGAGCCCTAAGCTCATTTTGGGGAGAAAAAACCCCTCTGGAGCCTTTAGGGGAAAGTGCAACTCTATAAATTTTAGGATTTGAGTTTGAGGAGGGTTTTAAATTTTTTTATTTATAATTTATTATATAAGATGTAATATAATAATATAATTTATTTTATTTTTATATTTTATTTAAATATAAATATTAAAATATTTTATATTATTAATATATTATTAACATATATACTATTTTATTTATAAATTTTATTTTATTTATAAATTATTATTTATAGAAATCCCTACAGGGGCTGTAAACGGAAGGGTGAACGTGTCCGAGAGGGAGAGCTGGGATCAGGAGTCACAACCTGGATTTGGGAATGTGGGGAAAGAGGGCAGCAATTCCTCCGAGTCCTTTACATTGGGATTGTGGGAGGGAGGGGAAGATGCTTCCAGTGGAATTCTGGGGAAGGAAGGGAACAGTTCTTACAATGGATTTACATTTGGGATTGTGGGGAAGGAAAGGAACAGTTCTTACAATGGATTTACATTTGGGATTCTGGGGAAGGAAAGGAACAGTTCTTACAATGGATTTACATTTGGGATTCTGGGGAAGGAAGGGAACAATTCCTCCAAGGAGTTCGAGTTTGGGATGTGGGAAGCAGGGGAACAATTCCTCCAGGGGATTTGATTATGGATGGGATTGTGGGAAAGAGGGGACGATTCCCCCAGTGGATTTGAATTTGGGATGTGGGGAAGGAAGGGAACGATTCCTCCAAGGGATTTACATTTGGGATGTGGGGAAGGAAGGGAACGATTCCTCCAATGGATTTACATTTGGGATGTGGGGAAGGAAGGGAACGATTCCTCCAAGGGATTTACATTTGGGATTCTGGGGAAGGAAGGGAACAGTTCCTCCAATGGATTTACATTTGGGATTCTGGGGAAGGAAGGGAACGATTCCTCCAATGGATTTACATTTGGGATGTGGGGAAGGAAGGGAACGATTCCTCCAAGGGATTTACATTTGGGATTCTGGGAAGAAGGGGAAGATTCTTCCAGTGGATTTACATTTGGAATTCTGGGGAAGGAAGGGAACGATTCCTCCAAGGGATTTACATTTGGGATTGTGGAGAAGGAAGGGAACGATTCCTCCAATGGATTTACATTTGGGATTGTGGGAAGGAGGGGAAGATTCTTCCAGTGGATTTGCATTTGGGATTGTGGGGAAGGAAGGGAGCGATCCCTCCAAGGAGTTTGAGTTTGGGATGTGGAAGCAGGGGACGATTCCCGTGCCCGGCGTGATGCCAGCTGCAGGTGGGTGATGGCACTCCCAGCCCTCCAGGGCGCAGCCCCTGCTCCCAGCAGGGTTTCAGATCCCAGGAATTCTCCCCGCCTCGCCTGCACCTCGCCGCTCCCAAAGTTTATTTTAAGTGGCCAGTTCCCGGCCGCCGTCTCTCCGCTCGGATCCAGGTCTTTCCTCTCTCCCAGCCATCTCTCCATCTGCATGTTTTAACTCCCCCAGCTGCCTCTCTCGTCTCTTGTGCCATTTTTTTCAGCTCTCTTGGCTCCTCTCGTCTCTTTGCCTGCTGTGTATTTTAACTCCCAGGGCCGCCTTCTCTGCTCTCCAAGTAATTCCATGTTCCCTCCCACTGCCGCGCTCCCATTCTTCCCCATGTTTCATGCATTTCCTGCTGCTTGGACGCTCTGTTGGAGCGGTGAACATATAGAATCAATGTTTATTTTCAGCCTGCATATGCCACGCAGGGAACACGGTGTCAGTTATTTTGTGCAGATGTATTCTCATTGAGGTTTTATAAATAATATCTGCGCTGGCAACTTCCATGCGGGAAAAATATCGGCTTGGCGGTGTCTGCGGGATGAGGGTGACTCTTCCGCGGCGTGGAGCCGGCGCTGGGAATTCTCCGGTGCGGGGACAGCGGCGCCCACTGAGGGAACTGGGGCTCTTCCTCCCCATTTCCCTCTATTCCCGTTATCCAGGCGCTTCCTTTGTTGGGTGGTTCCGATGAAATCGGGGACGCGGAGCTGTTTGCTCCCGTCCAAGGCTTCTCCAGCGGCCTTCGCGCAGCTCCTGCTCCTCGCAGGGCTGGTTTGTGCGGGCCAGGCCGGCTCCAGGGGCAGCCTGAGCTGCACTTTCCTGGCTCCAAGGGCTGGAGAAGCTCAGTCCATCACCAGCGACTGCTGGGGACGCTTTGGGGCTTCTCTGAGTGGGGAGCGGAGAACCGGAGCTTCTCTTTCATCCTTGTCCTCAGACTCCTCTCAGCCCCTCAGAGAAGACCTTGCACGGGGTCTGAAGCACGGAGCAGGGCTGAGAAGGTTCTGAGAGCTCGGGAATGTCAGGATGTGCTGGAGGAGGCCTTGGAGCCGGCTGGGCAGTGTCTGTGCAAGAGCCAAAGCTGGAACTGCTGGCAGTGTGCAGCAGTGAGGGAGAGATGGGAGCAGAACAGTTGTGTCTGTTCATCTCCAAATCCTCCTCATGCAGCGGTTCTCAGGGCTGTTTTCCTGTAAATCCCATAAATCCAGGCTGCTCCCAGGCTGGATCAGCACTGCAGAGCTGCTCTGGCTGAGCTAAATCGGTGGCACTGGGAAAAATGGGTTTTCCTGGGGGCTGACCAGAGCTCCGTGGTGCTGGAAGGGCATTTTCCTCCGCCCGAGCCGTGTTTGTCACTGCAGAACCGGGAGGCCCTCCTGGCCCTCCTTCCCGTGGACTTTTCCCAGAGATATTCCCATGTCAGTGTGAGCGGGGTGTTCCCACATCCCTCTCCCCACAGGTGCTTTTCCCCCACGGCCCCGTCCGGCTCAGCCCTCGGTGAAGTTTGTTTGGACTCAGCAGCTGCCGGCAGCGACACCTTCAGCTGCCGGGGCCTTCCCAGAGAAAACACGGAAACTGCTCCTCTAATGGTGTCAGTCAAGCACAAAAACCCCAAACCTCCCTCGGCTGGCATCCTCTGGAGGGGCACCGGGCTGGAGCTGCGGGGTGAGGCCTGGCTGGCCGGGACAGCAGAGCTGCCGGTCGCTGGTAGAGCTCAGATTTCCCAAAACGACCCAAAACGAGCGAGAAAAGCTCGGGAGCAGAGCAGAGACCTGACAGACTCTGGGAGGGTCCAGCAGAACGGGGATCTGGGGATCCCAAGCTTGCTTGGCACATCAGAGGGGCGTTGTGAGGAGTCTGGGGTCCCTGAGGATCCCCCAAGCTCCGGTGCCCCGCAGCAGGCGCCGGCGTCTCGCGGTGTCTGCGCTGCCTCTGAACCTGTTTATAGCAAACCCCAGAGAATCTGTCAGCTGGGAGACTTGGGTTCACTCCTGTCATGTTTAGTTTAGCATCTGACACCTCCTCCCAGACAAATACAGCCCTGGTTCAGTGCACCCGATAACTCCTTCGGAGTGCAGCGCCTGACTTCCATATGGAATAAATTACAGCACCTCCTGAAAAACGCCAGAGGCAGCTGCCAAATTATGCAAAATTTCAACCACTAATGAACACTGTGATGAAAGTTGAATGAAGGTGTATTTACAAGAGCTCCAACACCCTGTCTCTGTGCAGCAGATGCACTGTCTGTGTGTTTGTACCTACGGACACCGCGCTGCGGCACGGCGAGACGGGAGCCGCGGGCTCGCCTGCCTCCGCTGCGTCCCTCAGCACTCGGCTCAACATTCCCAGAGCCTTCCCTGCCTCTTCCAGCGTCCTCCCAGCAAAAGTTGTAAGGGGAAATTGCAGGAGGAAGAGGCACAAAGGGGGAAAAGGAACAAAGCTTGAAGGAAAAGAGAAGGAGGAGGAGGTGGAGGAGGAGGAGAGGAGGGAAGTGTTGCAAAGTTTCCTGTTCTTTGCCATCCACAGGTCAGGGGAGAGTCGTGGGTCAGTTCTGACGATGACACAGAGCCAAAATGTTGTGTTGTAAACTTGGGGACGATAAAATAAACATGTTAAAGGGGGCCTACGAAAGGCTGGAGAAGAACTTTTCCCAAGAGCAGGGAGTGAAAGGACAAGGGGAGATGGTCTCCAGCTGAGGGAGGGGAGGTTTGGATCAGGTTTGGATCAGGTCTTGGGAAGGAATTCCTGGCTGGGAGAGCGCAAGGCCCTGGCACAGGTGCCCAGAGCAGCTGGGGCTGCCCCTGGATCCCTGGCAGTGCCCAAGGCCAGGCTGGACACTGGGGCTGGAGCTCCTGGGGACAGTGGGAGCTGTCCCTGATGGGCTTTAAGGTCCCTCCCAAGCCCAACCATTCCATGATTCCCTTGTCCTCCTGCAGCTTTCCAGTGTGAGACCTCTCTGTGCAAACTTTCCAACCCCTTGCTGAATAATCTGAGCCAGGGTTAATCCCAAAGCTGCTCCTGTCCCGTGGATGGGGTGAGGTCTCCAAAACTCCTGCTCTCCTGTGGAACAGCACCAATCCCCCTGCAGCTGGGGTGGGGTGGGGTTTGCTCTTGTGAGTGAATCAGGCTCCTTCCTCTGCTCTTTTAGCACCTCCTGCTTTTTGAACATCCCTGGAGATGATGGGTAATTCGATTTTTAGCATCTCTTTTTTGAGTGTCTTTTGGGAGACTCAAAATCCATCTGGACACAATCCTGAGTTCTGTGCTCCTGTTTGAGCAGGGAGGTTGGCCTGGGTGAGTTCCCTCACCCTGGCATGTTTTAGGCTCCAGAAGATGCCAGGGCTGGGCTGTCAGGGGGTTCTGGAGGTGCAGAGCTCCCCGTTCCCTCACCCCACCCTTGGGCAGAGCACGCAGGGCAGCGGTGTAACCTAAATCCCTCCTCACCACGTGGATATTCGTTTTATTTATTTCCAGTCTGTGCTGATCCTCTGCCGTGGAAGCCTTTGGAAGCTCCTCATCACTGCCTTCCCGTGGGGGGTTAATGGGTGAAAAGGGATTTGCATTGCAGCTGGCAGCTCACAAAATGCAATATTTAACTCCCCATCCTCCCGAGCTCGGTGTCGGGAGCAGGGATCCCAGGGACGGGAGAAAACTGGACCTCTTGGCTAATTATGAGTCATTTATTCTGAACCACACAAATTCTCCAATCTGAATCCCAATTAAGACATTGCACTACATGTGTTAATTAGTCTGCTCTCCTTTTTAAATCGAGCCATAAACTCTACCTAATTAGGAGGTGGGCCCTTGTAATTTGAACTGGCCTGAGTTGGAAGCACCCCTGGAAGTCACACCTGGGGGCTGGGCCCGGGATCGTTTTAAATTGGTCGAGGTTTTACTGGGGTGATTATAAGGTCCCCGACAGGGCAATAATTACAGAGGGTGCAGTTCCAAATGGAGATGTCAGGGGTGGTGTCACAGCGATGCCTTGAGCCCCGGGGAGGCTGCAAGGAGCCTGCTCCTGGGATTGTCCCAGCCAGGGCTCTCACGGATCACAGCAGCTCCAGCAGGAGAAACAGCTCCAGGAGCTGCCCAGAGCATCCCAGGGATGGGCACAGCTCAGCCACGGCAGCCCTGCAACAGGGAGGGCTTCAAGGGTGTGGAGCAGTCACTGCTGTCCTGCTGGGACAGGTGACTTCTCCTGCTGGGACAGGTCATCTCTCCTGCTGGGACAGGTGACTTCTGCTGGGACAGGTGACTTCTCCTCCTGGGACAGGTCACACCTTTCCTCCTTGAACAGGTCACCTCTCCTGCTGGGACAGGTCACCTCTCCTCCTGGGACAGGTGACCTGCTGGGACAGGTGACTTCTCCTGCTGGGACAGGTGACTTCTCCTCCTTGAACAGGTCATCTCTCCTCCTTGGCCAGGTCACCTTTCCTGCTGGGACAGGACACCTTTCCTGCTGGGACAGGTGACCTGCTGTCCTCCTTGGCCAGGTGACCTGCTGTCCTGCTGGGACGAAGCCTGGCAGGTTTCTGTGGGAGGACCTGAGCTGCAGCGTGCTCCGTGCAGCACAGAGCAGCTCAGCACTGCAGAACAGAAGCTTGACTTTCACAGCACAAATTGATAGGATCAACTCCGTCTCGAGAGCTTATTAGCGAGGAGCTGAGATGCTGGAGGAGATAAATCCTGGTGTTTGCTCTCCCCACGTCTCCCCAAGCTGCCGGAGATGGAGGCAGCTCTCAGCAAGGGTGGGGAGGCTGAGTGTGCCCTGAGAGGCTGAGTGGGCCCTGAGAGGAGCAGGAGATGAAGGCTGAGTGTGCTCAGAGAGGTTGGGTGTGCTCAGAGAGGCTGAGTGTGCCCTGAGAGGAGCAGGGGACAAAGGCCAAGTGTGCCCAGAGAGGCTGAGTGTGCCCAGGCAAGAGCAGGGGGTGAAGGCTGAGTGTGCCCAGAGAGGAGCAGAAGACGAAGGCTGAGTGTGCCCTGAGAGGCTGAGTGTGCCCAGAGAGGGGGAGGGGGCGAAGGCTGAGTGTGCCCAGAGAGGAGCAGAGGACGAAGGCTGAGTGTGCCCAGAGAGGCTGAGTGTGCCCAGAGAGGCTGGGTGTGCCCAGAGAGGCTGAGTGTTCCCTGACAGGAGCAGGGAACAAAGGCTGAGTGTGCCCAGAGAGGAGCAGAGGACAAAGGCTGAGTGTGCCCCGACAGGAGCAGGGAACAAAGGCCGAGTGTGCCCAGAGAGGCTGAGTGTGCCCTGAGAGGTTGGGTGTGCCCAGAGAGGAGCAGAGGACAAAGGCTGAGTGTGCCCTGACAGGAGCAGGGGATGAAGGCTGAGTGTGCCCAGGCAGGAGCAGGGGGTGAATTCCTTCCCATCAGATCACCCAGGTGCATTTGGAGCTGGTACCAGACGTGGAGCAAGGGGCTGAGGTGACCTGGGCTCCGCCCTGGCTGCAGCCCCATGCCAAGGCAGGGCAGGGACAGCCTGGGCTGGCGCCTGGGAATGGTGCACGTGGGGTTGGGAGAGGTTTAATCCCGGTGATGTCACCCCAGGCACGGATGTCCAGGGGTTGGTGTCGTCTCTCAGACCTTCCCTGGCCAAGGAGAGCTCCTGGGACTGCCCCAGAGGGAAGGAGATCATGGAATCATGGAATATCCTGAGCTGGATCCTCAGGGATCATCCATCCAAGCCCTGGCCCTGCCCAGACCCCCCAGCAACCCTGGGCACACCTGGCAGCGCTCCTGGTTGGAGTTGGGAATGTGCCCATTCCCTGGGCAGTGCCAGCACCCTCTGGGGAAGAACCTTTCCCTGAACTCCAACCTGAGCCTGCCCTGGCCCAGCTCCAGCTGCTCCCTGTGTCCCAAATAACCCAGCAGCAGATCCACTCCCTCTCCACATTGCTCACACACACTGAACATTCCAGCCAAACTCCCCGTGCAGTTGTTGGTTCATATTCCCATTTTTCCAGTGGAATGATAGGGATTCTTTTTGTAAATGGCACCGGAATAAATCCTTCATGAATGATATTTTCCACTTTAACACTGATGAACTGCCTGAGGCCCCCTACCCTGGAATATATTGAATGTACCAGCTTCCACCAACTGAATGTTGTCCCAGTTTTCAGGTGTTAATTCCATCAGAAAGGTCACTTTTGGGCCATTCCCAGAACCTGACCTTGCAGGAATCTTCAGGTGTTTGCTGTTGGCAAGTCTGGAATTCATAAATGTCCCCTGGGAACAGGAAATGTTGAAAGGTCCTCGTCACCCACTGCAGATGTTGGATTTTAACAAATTAAGGGGTTGCCAATGTTGTGGCTCCATTGCTCCATCAATGAAGCTGCTGGTGCCTTTTCCAGTGTCTTCTCCAAAGCTCCCAGACCTCCCAGTGCCTCTCCAGGACCTGATTTCCTTCTGTTCATGGGGCACCAGCTCCAGCTGGTCACCACAGGGGTCACCTGTGGTGGGGTCACCTGCGGTGGGGTCACCTGGTCCCCTCACTCTGTGGGGTGGAGCTGGGGCTGGGGGTGGTGACCTGCTGAGGGGGAGCTGTGCCCCCCTGGCAGTGCCCAGGGCCAGGCTGGGCAGGCCTGGAGAGCCCTGGCACGGTGGGAGCTGTCCCTGCCCGTGGCAGGAGGAGGAATTGGATCACCTGCAAGGTTCTTTCCAAGCCCATTCCATGATTCTGGGAAGGGCCTGGCAGCGGTGAGGAGAGGGGGGCCAGGTGAGCAGGGGTGTCCATCCAGGGGTGTCCTGCGCTCCCCTGGACCTGGAATGATCTAACCAAGCCTTTCCCTTGCAGAACTTCGCTCCTGAGGTCCCGTCCCCGGATGATTCTCCCGGTCCAAAGCCTCGTGTGCCTCGCTGCCTTTGGCCTGGCCCTGCCCCTGGCCATCAGCCTCTTCCCGCAGATGTCCGAGGTCAGTGCGTGCCGGGGGCTCACGGGGGTACCAACCATGGCCTCTCTGCCCTCCTCTCCTGTTCCTGTGGTCCTGATGGAGCCAGTGCTCCTCTCCTCAGCTCTGCAGCCTCTCCAGGCAGGCAAAGGCCCCTCTCCCTCACACTGGGGTTTCCTTGGAGTTAAAATATGGAATCCAAGCTCTGTCCCTGAGGCCAAGAGCCTGGGCCACCCATTTGAGGGGGATGTTCTTCCCCACAGCTTCTCTGAGGGCTTTTGTTTTTCATCTCCTGGGGAGACCCAGCCTGGGGGTGAACAGAGGAAAGGAGCAGGGAATGACCAACACAGTCACTCAGAACAATTTAACAGATTGCTCAGGTGAATTTATTTCTAAGTCATTCATTTTGGTGGTTGGAGCTTTTCCTGGCTGTAAATCTGTACATTTCCAGAGAAGGTCTCTATTCCTGAGGGAGAAAACCTCCGTCACACAAGGACTCTCTCAGGGCTCTTCCCGTGTCAGCTGGAAGAGCTGATCAAGAGTTTGTTACGCTGTCTGCAGGTTAATTCATAGTTTTTCAGTCTGGGTGGGTTCATCCATGACTTCCAGCCAGGGAATCTTGCTGTACACTTGTGTGCTGACTGACAAACACGTCGGGAATTCTGTGTTGTCCTTCTTGCTGTCTCCAGGCTGAGAAAACCGTCCCTTCTCTCTAAGAACCTGAATTCATCTCAGTCTTGGAGCCTCTTGCTAAAAGACGTGTTTGCTGAAGCTTTAATGATTCATATGGCTCTTCCTTAAACTTTTTCTAATTAGTCAACATCGTTTTTGGAGCCCTTCCATCAGGAGCAGACACAGCATTGCAGTCAGGAGCTGCACAAGCCCCAGTTGCAGGAGCAATGTGATTTCCCTGCCTCTCCTGGGCTCTGTGTGTGCCCGCAGCCTGGCAGCGCTGCTGGCAGGAGCTCAGCCCCGGCTCCCCGGCCACCAGCTCCGTGCTCTGAGCCCAGCTCTGCTGCGAGGCGAGGCTCGGCAAGGCTGAGGAGCACTGCCAGCTCTCGCACCTGCTCAAGGTAGAGCCTGGAGCACGTCCAACCTGCCCGTGGGAAGGAGGCTCGGGCACACAGCATCCCTTCTGCTCCTTCTCCAGAGAATCTGAGAGTTTTTAAGGCTGGAAAAGCCCTCTGAGATCTCCAACTGTTCCCCAGCAGTGCCAGGGCCACCACTGCCCGTGTCCCCAAGTGCCACCTGCACAGGGCTTTAAATCCCTGCAGGGATGGGCGCTCCAGCCCTGCCCTGGGCAGCACCTTCCGGTGCCTGACCACCCTTTCCAGGAAGAACTCCTTCCTAATTTCCAGTTTAAACCTTCCCTGCTGCAATTTCACAGGAAATTTCCAATTTCCTCCCCATTTCCAGGAAAATTCTTTCGGGGTAATCAGGGAAGCAAGACCGCAGCAGGTACCACCAACACCATTTATCCCAAAGGTGACATTGCCACTGTTCCTCCAAAATCCTGGAATTCTAAAATGGTTTGGGTTGGAAGGACCTTGAAAACCCTCTCGTTTCATGGTGGCCCAGGGACACCTCCCGCTGGAACTGTGGCATTCCGGGTGACAGATCATTTCTCCTGTGCAGAATCTGATATTCCAGCAGGGAAAATCTCGCTGGCTTCAGCAGCTGAACGAATTCTAACCCCCAGGGAAAACTCGGGGCTGAATTTTCATGCCTCCAGGGATACTGGGATTGCAGGCACCAGGCAGTCCTGGAAGCGCCGGCGTTGTTGGGAGTGACCTTCTGAAGGCAGCTGAGATGTTCCCGGCGGTGGAGCCGTGAATCAGCGCTGATTAGGGATCAGACGGGATGACGTGCGCTGCCCACGCACCCTGCCAGGGAGAGGGAGCCCTCCCTGAGCCTGCCTGAGCTCTGCCTGCTGGGACCCAGCCCTGCTCCCCGGGGGAGAGCCCTGCACAGCTGGATCCCACATCTGCTCCTGCCGCGGGGTCAGCGGCTCCACAGGCAGCCGGGAATCCCAGAATGGTTTGGAACAGGAGGGACCCTAAATCCCATCCCCTCCCACCCCAGCCTCCCACCGTCCCAGGAGGATCCAGCCTGGCCTTGGGCATTGCCAGGGATCCAGGGGCAGCTACGGGAAATCTGGGAATTGCAGCCCAGGCAGGAATTCCTTGCCAAGATCCCAGCCCAATCTCCCCTTTCCCAGTGGAAGCCATTCCCTGGCTCCTGTCCCTGCAGCCCTTGGCCCCAGTCCCTCTCCAGCTCTCCTGGAGCCCCTGCAGGGACTCTCAGCATTCCCTGCATTTTGCCCTTCTCCAGGGGAACATTCCCAGCTCTCCCAGCCTATTTTTCCATTATGTTTGCATTTTCTATAAACCTGACAGTGTTTACAAAGGACATTCCCCCCGTTTTCTGAAATCTCTTTGGAGGTTTTTGTGGGGATGCTCAAGGAGCAAAGCGAGTGATTTACCTGGAACAATCTCTCTGGATCCATTTCCGGATGTGAAATCCCAGTCTCCTTGCAGGGAGTGTTTCTCAAAACCTGGGAAGTTTTGGGCACCCATCACCAGACCATGAACTTCAGTGCTTGGGCTCAGTGGAGTCTTTTCCAGCCTGAATGATTCCATGATTCTGTCTTGCCAGATAAGGAATTCAGAGGTGTTTGAACACGGATCTCTGAGCAGGTGTGAATGTCTTTGCTTTTCCCTTGGCCTCGGTCATGGGACCACGCTGTTGTACCAAGTACTACAGGGAGCAAATCAGCAACGAGGTGTAAGAGACGTGCTCTGCCCCAAGCACGTGGCTGTGGTGTGAGCAGCAACCCCTGCAGGAGTTGTGAGGGATCCAAACCCTGCTCTGAATCACACAGGACCTTTTGCAAAGCAGGGAGCAAACAGAGGCTGAAGTGTCGCCACTCGGCTGTTTCGGGCCAGGAGTTGGCGTGGCCGCTTGGATCCTCTCTCCTGACGGGGCTCAAACTCACAAGTGGTTTTCCAGCAGAGCTGAAGCCTTGCAACAGGTTGAGTAAATCTGCTGGATAATTGCAGCCACCTTGTCCCAGCAGCTGCTCCGGAGTTATTCCTGTGTGACAACAACTCCAGTGAAATCAGAGCTGAGCTCTGGCTGCAAGCAGAGGCACCAGTGTCAGGGAAAGGGAATTCTGGGGGTGAGCAAACTCCACGTGCTGGGAAGGTTAACGCACCCTGAGCCTTTTCTGGGTCGATATCCAGCCTAGCAGAGCCTTTTGTAGGGATGAAATTCCACTTGGATTTCTGCAGCGGTGCTCCAGAATCACAGCTTGTTTCTAGATATTATGGCTTTAGAGAGAACGTTATAAAAATAAACCCCTCGTATCAGCCATGAAACCATGGATTCTTGGGAATACTCACGCTGGAGCTGCTGAGAAACGTTCTTGTCATCCCAGGATAGCGTTAACTGTGGTACCTAAACCCATCAATATGCATTGAGTAATTCACTGCTGTTAAGTTTAGGAGAAACATGTAGTTAATGCATTTAGCCCACAACCTCCAACTGCCTCCCATGCCCCCCGGGGAATCTCTTCCCTCTCCCAATCCCGCAGCATCCCCACTGACAACTCCTACTCAGCTATGCACTGCCAATGGAAACAGCTGTGACAGCTCCAAACCGAAAATGGGACTTGTGCAAATGAAATTCAGTGTAGCAGCAGAAGAAAGAGCCACGGGGTTGCTCCGCTGCTTTTGCGCCCCGTGGGCCCTGCTCCTCCAGATCGTTCCTTCAGCAGCACCCACCAGGAGCCCGGCGGGATCCTGGGGAAAAGGGGGATAGGGCCAGCTGGGAAATGGAGAAACGGAGCTGGAGAATGGCAGGGAAACCTTCAACCACCTGAGCTCTCCTGCCCTGGCCTGGGGGGAGTTCAAAGGGCGCTTTTTGGGTGATGCTCAATGCAAACCGAGGCGTCTTCTGGAATGAGGCTGATTTCAGCCTTTCCTTAAAAATAATCTTGCTCTTGGATCTCCAGGACAAGGGGAATAAACAGCCTAAAATCCAAGGCTGAGCTATTGTTTTCCAATCTGTTTTAGCCTTCATCTTGTTGGCAGGCTGCTTTAGAAAAGCAAAAGGTTAATGAGCCAATGTGCAGTGGGATTATTGCAGTAAAGATGACAGTGAACCAGTAATTACTAATTAGATGCAGTTTAACAGGAGGAACAAGTGAAATCTCCTCTTCACCAACTGTCAATAATTAGCAGATTTGGTGAGGTTGAAATGTGTCCACAGTTAAAAGGCTGATTTTTTAATGAAATGGCACTTGACAAAAGAGCTGTATGGAGGTCACAGCCATAGCCCTCGAGACGCTTCCCCATTCCATACTTAGGAGGGAAATCAGATGCAATCCAGCAGGGGGTCCCCATGGAACCATCCCTCCCTTGGGATTGCTTTGCACAGGGGGGAGGGGAGCAGGAGGGATTCTCTGCAGTAATTTTGTCCAAGTTGGATGAGAAGCCAGGGAAGGGATTTGCCAGCTGCCATGGGGAAAAATGTTTGAGAAGTGAGAAGTTCTGCTTTGCTTCTGGGGCTGGAGAACGGTTTCCTGGGAGTCTGGGAGCCCTTGGGTTGGAGGCTGGGCTTGGAAGGAGCTCCTCTCAGCAAAGAAGTGGCACAAGGTCCTGAAGGGCTGGCAGGAGGCTGGAAGCTCAGTGGGAAGTGTCTCCCAAAGACTGCAGAGGATTCAAGCTGTGCCGCAGAGATTGTTTCCTCCTGCTCCGCCGGTGGCTTCGGGAGCACCAAGAGGTTCATCTGAGGTTCCTCTCTGAGTGCTGACCCAGCTTATCTTCTGGTTTATCTTCTGTCTTATCTTCTGGTTTATCTTCATCTTCTGCTTTATCTTCTGCTTTATCTTCTGCTTTATCTTCTGCTTTATCTTCTGCTTTATCTTCTGGTTTATCTTCATCTTCTGGTTTATCTTCTGGTTTATCTTCTGGTTTATCTTCTGCTTTATCTTCTGCCTTATCTTCTGGTTTATCTTCTGGTTT